TAAAACAGAGGAGGGGCACGCACGAACCAGCGAGCAGAGGGCTGACGGCGCAAGTCCAAGGAGCATTCCTCATCTTCTCCGTTTGAAACTGCCTGGGGAAGACAGATCAGCAATGGCAGCAAGAGAACATGACGAAATAAAAGAGAGAACAGAGCGCGGGTGTGGACGAGCGGAGAGAGGGAGAGAGGCAGAGGTTGACGGCGATCATCTTCTCCCTCTCTGCGTTGCGACAAAATCAGAGGATCAAGGGAGAGTGACGACTTGAAGGAGAACCAGAGAAGCTTGACAGTTTTCTTCACTCTTTCTTCGATATTCTTCATGGCTGGATATGGTAGAATTCTGAATATGGCATTCCTCGTGGCAATCCGGGGCTAAGGTTGTATAATCTTCCAATTCAACAAGAATGGCAGGAGCTTGGATCTTCAAAGGGAGTTTTAGTTGCTTTAATTTCTTACTCAATAATTGTTTAACAATTCCTAGGTCTTAGGATAGTTTTTCTGATTGTTGGGATAATTTATTGCTTAATCTGATTATATTTGGAGATTATTGTAACTGAATTATTGCTTAGCATGTGACATTGGGCTGTTTATAACTTTAATTTCAATTATAATGTTGTGGTTATGACATTTGTATTGATTTGGAGTTAATATATTGTGATTTTCTGAGGTGGCTTGGAATTTTGGATCATCTTGTCTCTTGCTAGCTTTAATTCTGTTATTTTGGATTTAAGAGTTCTAATTAAGCATTGGTTTTTAGCATCCTTAATCCCATTTTACTATTCTGGTTGCAGTTAGTAAGTTGGGATTTTAGGAAAATATTTTGTGGCAACTCGAGGTGGCTCGGTTGTTGGATTACAAGCTTAATTATAATTCTTAATTCATTGTTTTAACTCCCACATCTTTTAGAGTGATGATTGCCTATATTGTTGAATTGGAGGATTGATTATTATTATTGTTATTTGTGTGTCTCATTTTCATTTCTTTAATCTTCATTCATGTTAATCATTTTTATATAAAAACAAAAAAAAGTATTTTAATTTTAATTTAATTCAAGTTGTTTACTTAACAATTATCAAATCAAAAATCTTTTTTATAGTTTAGGTCATGGTTATTAGTATCATGCGATTCGAGATTCGAATCGCACGATATGCTACAGATTGCACACTGGGAGATACGAATCTCCCAGTGTATCCTTTGCCATCTGAATCGCGCGATTCACGTCGCAATCGTGCGACGTCGGTGGATCGCACGATTCTGGGCTCTGTTGGGTCGCACGGATTCGACCCGTATCTGTGCGCGACCGACATGATAATACCCCCTTTTTTGTTTTTCCGATTTTTTTGTTATTTAAAGGGAGAAACTGCTGCAAATTGAATTATAAGCATGTGAAACCCTATTTTTTTATTCCCATCTGCTCTGTTCTTCACGTTCTGTATCTTGTGCCCCACGGTTGCATTTTTTCTCCTCTTCTACTGGTCCTTTTTGGTCAAAAAGTTTAAAAATTGAAGGCAGTGGTCCACTCTATACTGTTGCTGACTTGCTGGTTGATTGGGGTCCATTCTACTCCTATTTAGTAATTTTTTCCTGCTTCTTTTTTGCTTCTATTGGATATTATATTGTGAAGGTAGGAAAAATGAGTCAGAATCAGAATAAGAAAAAAAAGGAAGCTGATATTACATGGAATCACTTTGAAAGTGTTCCTCCCCATAGACTTATGGTTAAATGCAAATACTGTTCACATCAATGTTGGGGTGGGGTAGCTGATGAAACATCATTTGGCTGGAACTAGAGAGAATGTGAGTCCTTGTACAAGTGTTCCTGATGAAGTGAAAAAGTTGTTGTTAAAATGTTAGAAAATAGAGAAAAAAGTAAAGATGCCAGTAGTGTTGAAGTATTTGAAGAGGCAACTGCTCAAGATGCTAAGGGGAAGGAAGGGACATCAAAAACTACCAAACAGAAAACAATGAATGAGATGGTAAAAGATAGAGAGTTAGTAATTCAAGATATTTGTAAATGCATCTATGGTAATGCTTTATCATTTAATTTGGTGAGAAGTCCACTATTCATTCAAATGTTAAAATCTGTTGGTGAATATGGTAGGGGTTTGAAACCTCCAAGTTATCATGAGGTGAGAGTTTCTCACTTGAAAAAAGCAGTTGATAAAATTCAAGAAAGTTTAGCAAAGTATAAGAAGGAATGGGAGAAATGGGGTTGTACCTTGATATGTGATGGTTGGACTGATGGTAAAGGAAGGTCTCTTACTAATTTTTTAGTTAACAGTCCTAGTGGAACAGTTTTTCTAAAGTCAGTGGATACAAGTAGTGTGATTAAGGATGCTAAACAAATGTTTGAATTACTAGACAATTTGGTTGAGGAAATTGGGGAGGATAATGTGGTACAAGTTGTGATAGATGGTGTGTCAAATCTCGTGGCAGCAGGGAAGATGTTAGAAGAGAAGAGAACAAAATTATTTTGGTCCCCTTGTGCAGACACTGTCTTGACTTAATCCTTGAAGACATTGGGCAACTTCCAGTATTTTATAATACCATCACCAATGCAAAGAAAATAACAACCTTCATTTATAGGCATACATGGGTCCTTAACTTGTATAGAAAGTATTCTAAAGTAAAAGAATTAGCTAGACCGGCAGTGACAAGGTTTGCAACAGCTTATCTTACACTAAGTTGTATATTGCAACAAAAAAATGCTCTTTGAACCATGTTTGCTTCAAATTATTGGATTTCTAGTACTTTTGCTAGTAAAAGTGAGGGCAAGCAAGTGGTGGACATGGTTTTTGGGGATTCTAGATTTTGGAGTTCCATCAAATATTGTTTAAAGTGTGTGAGTCCACTTGTAAAAGTTTTAAGACTTGTAGATGGTGACTCTAAACCTACTATGCCATATATTTATGAAGCAATGGATAGAGCCAAAGAAGAGATTGCTGACAATTTTGAAAAGAAGGAATCAAGGTATAAAAAAATATGGAAGATCATTGATATTCGTTGGACTTTGCAATTACATAGACCCCTCCATGCGGTTGCCTACTTTCTTAATCCTAAGTAAGTTTTATACACTTTAAAATTTAAATATTATTGTTTAATTGTATGTTAGAACTTAGAAAAACATAATTTATTTGTTATTTTCGTAGGTTTCATTATGATGAAAAATTTAATGCGGACCAGGAAGTTTATTTTGGTTTATATGAAACTATTGAGAGAATGATTCCGGATAGAAAGACAAGATTTTTAGTTGATCAACAACTTGAAGCATTTAAGTCTGCTAAGGGGCTTTTTGGAAGGAGCATGGCAATAGATACTAGAAACAAAAAGCAACCTGGTACCATTCTCTAGTCTATAGTCTATTCTATTTAGAAGACTGTAATTTTTAATCTTAATAATAAATATGAATTTTTGAAATCATTTCTCATTATTGTATCCTTTTTTAGCTCTTTGGTGGGAAAGTTATGGAGGAGAGGGCAAGGAGTTGCAAAAGATAGCTATGAGGATTTTGAGTCTCACGTGTAGTGCTAGTGGATGTGAAAGAAATTGGAGCACATTTGATCAAGTGCATACTAAGCGAAGAAATCATTTAGAACAACAAAGGTTAAATGCACTTGTATTTGTCAAGTACAACCTTCAACTTGAGATGAGACAAAAGATTAGAGAGGAAAAAGGAGAGACATATGATCCAATCTGTTTATCAGATATTGAATCTGATGATGAGTGGATCACTAAAAAAGAAAATCCATGCTTGCCAGTGGACGGGTCATGGATGGACATACATGAGAGTTTTACTCTTGATGAAGGAGCTCCAAGTAAAAAAAGAAAGAGAGGTATAATATTTCAAAGCTAAACTTAAGTTAATTTTTAGTTTAAATATATACCATCATACTTATTAAGTTTTTTTTCCCATAGGTCCAAGAAACTTGAATGCCAAAGCCAATAACAAAGGAAAATCTATAGTAAGACAAGAGAATGAGAATGAAGATGATGCTGAAGATGGGGAAGAGGAGGATGATGAAGAAGTGACATTGTTAATGGAGGATGATCATGAATTGAGTGACATTGATCTTGGAGATGATGAATGAGGAATTGAATTTTATGTTCAGTGATTTTAGTCTTTTTAAGCTAGGATTTTGATTTTGTGAATTGATTTTGAGGACTATTTGTCTTTAGAATTTCATATGTTGGTTTTTATATTTTTTTTTAGAGTCTAAAATAACTAATATTTACAAACTTTTGATATCTTTTTATACAAAAATTACTTATATATCATCCTTAATAGTTATTCATGAATCTTACGATTCACGATACGTTACGATTCAAGATTCAAAAAATCGGCTTTCGATTCACGATTCGTATCTCATTTTGATAACCATGGTTTAGGTTACTTGCATTTATTTACTATGATTTAATTTCATTTTCGGCTCCTCAAAGTGAATACGACCTGGATTGTGCACTATATTGCATTAATTCGGTTAATTTTTGAAGTAACCCCAAAGCGACAAATTAAGGGCAAGTTAACTTCAAGTATGTTTTATAATACTTAATGCCCATTGTGTTGTAATTTAATTTGACAATAATGGAGCATCTTTTGAAATACAAAATTATTATCCTTGCTTAAAACAATTATAATAATCTCAACTCAAGCAAGAACAAATGACTTGTTGATTTAGTTGAAGTTTCAATGGAGTCCTTTTCAGGTTTGACTACTAATCCTCATAAATCCCAACCGTTATTCTCTTGAGTGGTTTAAGGATGACGTTAAAACAGGAAATTGGTGATCTAACTGGCTTTCATACAAGTAGTTTTCCTTTGAAACACCTTTTGTCATCTGGGAATCTTTCTTATATATGCCGGATATTCCCAGTTTATAATGTATGCTGGTCTCAAATTCTTGTTTTGATTCGCATAGTAATAAAAGTTTGGAAAAAAATATGATTCCTTTGGGACCACAAGAAAAGTGGTTGGGCTAAAGCTCTTGTATCTCCCGGAATCAATAACGTTGCTTTTTCAAAAGCTCGTATATGTATGGTGGTTTAAATTTAAAGAAAAGTAATATTTAAGTCCTCATACTTTACATCGATTTTAAATTTCGTCCCTATATATAGGTTAATTTGGTTTGGTTTGTTTGTTTCTTTTTTATTCTGCATGAACATGGAGAAAAGTCCTCGCAGCTTATGGGGATTAGTATGTATGCATAGTTAGCCGTCAATCATAAATATGTCAACCATCTCAGTTAACATTAACAGTGTTATCAGTCCAGGGAGTAACGGTTTTAACAAGTTGATGTGTGATGCCCAATTCAAACCAATCAAATTATAAAACTGGTCGAGTTAATAGGGAGTTGACTCATAACCTACAAATCGTAAGTTCAAATTTTGCTATCAATATGAAGATCTTGTTGGTGGATAATCCTATAAGCATTTTTGTAAACATTCTTTGACTTTAACACAATAAGGTAGAGTGTCCAACAGAATTGCTGTCCTTGAATGAAAGATCCTTTAATGCAATATAAGAGAATGAAAAGAGGGATGAGTTGGGCCGCACTAACAATTTTGATGTCTTTTTCTCTTGATATGTACTTCAGCACCTTTTTAAAGGGGGAATAGGTGGTGGTTAATTAAGTTTGTTCAATATCTGTCGTCTCTATAAAGTTATTAATCATGAAAGAGAATGTAATATATATAAAACAATTTTCTATTTAAATATAGGCAAATTATTTGAATTTTAGACAAAATTAGTAATTTGATTAACTTCTCATTTATTTCCACTTGCCTCATAATAAAGAACGGAGTAATTGTTTTTATCAAAATCATGAAAAAACTAGTCATCTCATTAAAATTCTTAAAATTAAATATATGAAATGATAGTTTTAATTAATACACGTAATTAGAAATGGTATTTTATGAAAAATAATACACATTTATCACAAATAACTAACTTAACTAATTTTTTTAATTTATTCAAATTAGTCAACTGTTACTTATATCATAGACTAGAGGTAGTATTTTAAATTATTTTCTTAATTATAAGTAATAACCAGTGAAAAATTTTGAAAACTGAAAAGAGAGATGAAGACATGTAGTAAAGATCATATGAGAACTCTACCGTTTTGTGGGGACTATGTCAAAGCCATCGATTCCCCCGGGGGGGATCTTCGCAAATTAATTTCCACAAATTATTTGTAAATCAAACTAAAAGCTTACATATAAAATATTACTACATCTGGTTCTTAATCTAAAAATTAGCTGATTAATTTAAGTAGATTAAGAAAACTTTTTAAGTTAGTTATCTGTAACAAATATGAGTTGACTTTTCTAAAATATCCTTGCTAACTAATCGTATGTATATTAGCTAGAACTACCAATTGACAGAATATTTAACATGTGTAACTATTACAATAATCATTTTGAAAAAATCGATAAATATGATAAACAAAGTAGATTGAGGTTTTATATTTAGGACTAAATTAAAAATTAAACTAACTCTTATATTAAAAACCAGGGATAATAATATTTTTATAATTTTTTTAATTAATATATTTTGAATATTTTTCGGCAACGCCGAGCAATCAACTTCTCCAGCTAATATATAACTTTTGAATGTCATTAGCTGACAATCCTATTCACGTTCATTGCAAATAGGATTTGATTTATTTTATTTTATTTTATTTTGCCAAAAGCCCAACTAAATTGAGAGAATAATAGTAGGCCCAATAAGGCAGAAAATGGTAGTTAGATTATTTACCATGGTTAAAGAAAATTAACCTTGGTAAGATAAGTTAGATCGAGTTAACCAAAGTTAAAAATAAACTTATGTTAGTAAAACTAACAATGGTTGGAAAGAAATAACCATGTTTAGCCAAAAATAATTATCGTTAGTGAAAGTGACTGATTTTTTTTTTTTTGATGGGAAGAAAGTGACTATGATTAACTAAAGCAAATATATTTAACTTGAAATAATCTTGGTTAAAATGGATAAGTGACGAAGTTGGCAAATAGCGTGACATCCAAGGCCAAAAGTGAGAGGAAAAAATTGATCTCAAGGATAAAATTGAAAGATTAAAATGGAAAGTCAATTTAATCTTGAAAAGTAAGGTTAATGATTACAATTAAATATTTGGACAAAATATTCTAATAATATTGATTATTTTTTGTTAATAGTGAATAGAGTTTAAATGATACCCTTCTCGATAATATAAGTCAGACAAAAAAACAACTTAATAATGATATAAATGAATAAATACTGATATTAATAATTAAGTGATATGTTGATGATATGACGAAGGAAAGAGAGAGAAGCTCTCAACAAATTCATGGAATTCCAAGAGAGGTTCTAGGGATAGAAAATAGTGAAAAACTCTACCAAATCTTCTTCAAATTAAAAAAAATGTTCTTCTTGCCATTAATTTGATTTTAGATTACGATAAAAAATTTGAAAATCTCAAAAAAGAACCGAAAATCAGTAATAAATATATGAATAAATTACTAAATGATCATTTTCCTTAAAATTTTCATGTAAATATGTATGATAGATCACTTATAAGTAACTATATAGCCGGTAGTAAATTGCAGAAGTGATAAGGTCCAATTTTTGTATAATTTATCTCACATTAATCAAAGATTTAAATGATAGGTTTGAGTTTAGTTGGATTTTTAGGTTTCATTGAATTAATTGGTTGATTTTTGGATTTTTCATAAAAATTGAGATTTTGGATTGAAAACATATATATTTTATGATTTCTTATTTTTGACTTGGAATTAATTTTCCTATTTCTTTGAAAATAAGTCTCATATTTTTAGAAAGATTATTTTTAGAAAATTTTGTAATTTCTTGCCTAATTTTTGTGCATATCTAATATTTAATTTTTGATATAGATTATATTATATTTGGATATAATCTACATTAATGGATGTACTTAAATTCTTATAAGTCAAGAAAGAGCATATAGAAATCCAATGGTACAAGATTGTTTCTAGGAATTTAAACACAATTTAATAACTAATATCAAATAGGTCAATTAATTACTAATAGGTTTGAGCTTTAGATAAAAAATATCCCTCTCCTCCTATTGAATATGGGAGCCGCCACCTATCTGAAAAAGTTTCCTTTTCGCCAAAAACAAGCTTCGCCTTGCGGTTCCAACATACACCTTAAATCACGTCCTTTGATTTCAAAAACCACTATTCCTCGAGGCAATTGAAGAATTGCCGTCTCTGACCATTTATTGATTCCATTCCACATTCACCCAACCTATTCTCACCATATTCCATCATCTCATTCAATCAATCTCCTCCCCTTTCTCACTACACACACAACTCTTATCTACACCTCACCATCACTTTCAATCAATTCATGGCTATGCATCTAACAATTTTGGAGGAAGACACATTTTGATGACACTTTAAGCTTATTAGGGAGACAACTTGGGAGGAGTATAGAGGAGGCTTGAGCCTTGGACTAGCACTTGAAGACCACAAGGGAGTGATATTCCATTTATCTTTTTACTTCAAGGACTTAAGATTATTTACTTTTAAATAATTTTAAATTGTATTTTTCTGAGACAATTTAGTTCTAGATTGTCACTTTTATTCTTGGATTGAATTGATATTTGGACTTTATTTGTATTGAAACACTTGCTGAAATTTATGTTTATGAACCTTTGCATTATTAATTGAATTTATAATTGAGTTTTCATTATGAATTTAATTATCAATATGGTTTGAATTGCAAAATTTGGGTTCTTTGACCTCTTAATTGTTTGATTAAGTTGGTTAATTGTCTGATTGTTTGGTTGGATGATTTCAAACATAATTTTCAAAATTAATTTGAATTGTTTTCATTGGTTTTAATAAGCTTAATTAACCAACCTTATACCGTTATGAATTCTCTGATGGTTTAAGCTTTTGAAATTGAGGGTTCTTTTTATTTCAAGTAGGTGATTAAATTTATTAACTCCATTCTCTTATCACTTTCCTTTGGTCTAATTAACTGATTAAGGTTATGAAGGTTAAATCCATGTAAATCCTGAGTTGTCTCCTCTACCGTACCTGACTCCTCAATTTTTACTTATTAATTTTCTTTGCTCTTTAGTCAATTTTTCTTATTTATCATTTTAATTTTTTTCTTTAGAAAAAAACCCCCCAAAAATT